TTCGTTCGAGTGCATAGCAACTGGCAATTGACAATAAACCAGTAAAACTGAAACATACAAGCTTTCCATAAAAACTTATTTCATAGGGCTGGAGAGATAGTTCAATGGTTAAGAGTGCATTCTGGTTTGTTTCTTTGTTTTTGTCTGAGAAAGGTTTCCCTGTAGCCTAGAACTGGCTATGTAGACCAGGCTAGTCTTGAACTCAGAGAGATCTGCCTGCCTCTGCTTCCTGAGTGCTGGGATTAAAGGTGTGCGCCACCACGCCCAGCTTCTTACTGCTCTTGTAGAGGACTCAAGTTGATTTTCAGCTTACAACCATCTATAAATCCAATTTCAAGGAGCTCTGACGCCTCTGGCCTCTGAGGCATCATATCCATATATGTACACATATATGTATATTAATATGTACAATCCCCTTCCACAGACACCTGTAATTAAAACTAAATCTTTAAACCTTTAATCTGACCACTTGGGAAGCCAGTCTGGTCTACATAGCAAATTCCAGGCCAGCCAAGGCTAGTGAGACCCTGTCTTAAAACAACAATTTATTTCATGATATAAGGTCAAAGAAAGGCTCTTGTTAAATAATGAACCCGGATTCTTTTTTGGTCTTTTTGAGACAGGGTCTCCCTGTAGCCCCAGCTGTCCTGGAACTCACTATGTAGACCAGGCTGGCCTTGAACTCACAGAGATCCACCTGCCTCTGCCTCCCAAGTGCTGGGACTAAAGGCGTGTGAAAACACGCCCGGCCGAACCTGGATATTTTTTAACAGCATATAAGAGATCTCATGAGACAAATGTTTCCCTGAGGAAAGAGCAGCCTAAGCCAAGCAGCACTGGGAGAGTCAGTCCCCTGGGCCTCGAGCGTGGCTGAGACGTGTCCTGCCGCTGACTGCAGGTTCCCTGTAGAGGGTGGTGAAGAGTGTGATAAACTACAGGCACTTCGCCCCTTGCTCCCTTTTTAAGGGTGCAGATCCAAAATCAGAATCTCACTCCCCAAGGCAGCTTTACACAACAGCGACAGGGAGCCAAGCTGGAAACTTGGAGAAGAGCCCACTAGTTTTCTAGGTGGAGAACTTGAAGCTTGGCACAAGGAGATGACTTACCCAAGGTCACAGTCCCAGCAAAGCCCAGGAGCCCCAGCTGTGAGGTGAAGCTCCCTCTTCTTCTCCCACGAGGAAGGAGGTAGAGACTTTTAAGGGGCTACCTGTGTCTTACAGGAGTCGGGACAGGAGTGACAGAAACTCCTCTCCTGCTAAGCTGCAGGGATCTGGTCTATTGGCTACAGAGGTAGGGGTCAGGCCCTTTGCTGGTGAGCCAGGCACCCCTGCATCCTGACAATCTAAGAACTCTAGCCAGTGAAAACGGCCTCTTGACCTGAAACAGGGCACCCTGATTTGCGTCACCAGGCTGCTGCTCTGGGGACAGAATGAAAAGGAGGGACAGGTGGGCTGGGTAAAGAACAGCTCATTGCTATTACACCTCCTGTGGGCCTCTGCTGCCCCCACCTGGATTGGTAAGCAGAAGCTGGGTCTTGTCAAGGCAGAAAAGGTGAAGGGGAGATGGAGAGGGGCAGAGCCAGGAGGAAGGAGCATGCACAGAAGCCAGGCTGGACTTCAACCTGCACAGGCTCTGAGAACGTCTGTTTCTACAGCCCCCTGGCACCCTCAGGCAGGGCTGGGTAGACATTCTACACACTTTACTGTCGCAGACAAAAAGCCCCCTCCCAGAAGAAGTCTTCTCTGACTACCCAGCCTGCTCTCATGTCCCCAGAGGCAGCCCAGGAGCCTCTCTTGGGGGAAGGAGAGCAAAGGCCTGTGGGAATCCCTTTATTAATCCATGTCTCACTTACCCATCTGTATATGGAACTGACATGCGTGAAAGATGAAGTATGGCACCAGAGGCACTGGGTACTACTGTGGTGGTACTTGTTCATGGATGACCATCCAGGTCCACAGACTCAAGGCAGGGAAAGGATAACAAATGGTGGGCTTTACCCTGGGCTCCTTCACTGTTTTCTTTCTGTCACTCAGCTTGCCTGCTTCTTAGCCCCACTTTTTCTATCAGTTAGCACTGGATGTCTTTCCTATGGCTGGTAGAACACAGGTTTTGCATGTCTGGCAACCAAAGCAGCTTCTCAGGAGGGAGTAGGGTAGGTCAGTGTAAAATCCCCTGTACTCAGCCTCCAGTTTCTCTGTGTCCTAGCAGCGATAGCCTAAATTCCCTACCTCCTCTGAGCCTGTTTCCCTCCTTACTAAAAGACCTTCAGGAGGAGAGCTGAAACTAGGCATTGGCTCAACACGTGACTTCATCCATTTCTTCTGAAGACTCAAGCTGTACACAGTGTAAGTTTCCAGCCGTGTCAGGTACCAAGGTGTCCTCTCTTGTGAGTCAACCAGTCAACAATGTGTGCGTCTTACCAGAAAACTGGTGCATGGAAAGGTGCATCTGCAGGCACCCACCAACCACAGCACTGTTGAAGGCTGCTCTTTCAGCCCCTTAAGTTTTTCACCTACATCACCTTGGAAGTCGTCCCATATTAGAGGACATCAAACACTTTTGTTTTTAAGGTTGCACAGTTTTTCTAAAGTATGGATGATGTTTGAACTCAATTGCCATAGCTACTGTAGGCCTGGAAACCGTGAGAACCCATTAGGATCCAAAGAGATGTGTAATTGAAGACTGAGGATTTGAGATCCTGGTTCCAGCCATTCTGTTACCTCAGTCTTCATCTTCTTTGTTAAATATTCATCATTTTTATTTTATATGTATGAGTGTACTGCCTGCATATATGTAAGTTCACCCATGTCATGCAATGTGGAGGACAGAGAGGGTGCCGGATTCCCCTGGAATTGGAGTTACAGACGGCTGTTAGTCGTCATGTGGGTGCTGGGACTCGAACCCGGGTCCTCTGCAAGAGCAGCCAGTGCTCGTAACCTCTGAGCCATTTCTCCAGGCCCAGTCTTCATCTTCTGGGCCGTGATGCTCGTGGGAGAGCGGATGTGGGTGCAGAGAGGGCCCAGCTTGCCGGATCCCAGGGCCAAGTGCAGACCTATCAACAGCGCGCACCAGCTTCTCCCGAGGGACAGAGGATGACTCGCGAAGTCACACAACGCACACCCAGCAGCAGACACACCAAGAACTAAGCACACGGAACCTCTGAAGAATCTACCCGCCTAGCACACGACCTCGGCGGAATCACACTCCGCTCCGCGGCCAGGCACTTACCTCAAATCCCTTGGGGAGCCACAAGGCAGCAGAGGCTGCGGTTCCTTTAAAGAGACTAAGCGCTAGCAGAGCTACTTCCGCCCAGAAGCAACATGGCGCAAACAGCGTCGGGAATAGTGTGACCCTGCGGGGGCAACACCCTTCGAAAAGATGGCGACGCCCTGGCCGCCGCGTTTGCGGCACGATGACATCACTTCCGGGGCGGAGGAGGTTGAGTCGGGCTGCGAGAAATAAACAACTAGGCGCTAAAGAAGCGTGGCGACCGACTATGGGGCGCGGAGTCGAGGGCGGGGGTGCCCGCCGGGCGGTTGGGAAAAGGACGCGATCTGTCACTGCGCGAAACCCACGGGGACGTCACCCACAAGTCTGGGGTGCCTTCCACCCGGATCCTGAGCCTCCGCTCGGTTCGGCTCAACTCGGCTCGGCTCAGGTCCCGCCGCCTCCGGGCTCCGCCCCACCCTCAGACCGGTGCCGCAGCGCGCGAGCCCCGTCCCGAGCACCCCGAACCTCGCGCCGCCCTTGGCGGAGCTTCCGCCGCTTCCCCGGCCCCTGGTCCTCGCTGCTCCCCGCACATCCGCGCTCCTCCGTACACACTGCCCGGTCCCACAGGTTCCACCTTGGCGCGCTCTGGACAGCTTCCCACCCGCTGGCTGCCAGGCGCCGGCCTCTTCCCGTGGAACCCTCCCTCTTCCTTACCGTGGGGATAGGATCACGGACTGGGTCCCTAGGAGCTGCCTGGGCTGGGGGTTCCCTGGACGACCCGTTGGGAAAGTCGAGTTTCTTCTACCCCTGTCCTGTGCATCCAGCGGGCAGGAGAGCCAGATCTAGTGATGGGAGGGCCTTGGCCTAGGTCTAGGTGAGCTGGAGTCAGCAAGGATGCTCCCAGGATGAAAGAACTCACCAAGGGTGGAGCCTAGGTGCCATGGCAATTGGAAGCTAATTGTAGGGAAGGGGTTGAAGGACCTGAATGATCCAAAGATCTTTTCTACCTTGGGTAGGCTTTAGTAATACCTTTAACCCAACTAAGCTGATGGGGAGACTCCTGGCAAAGGGGAGTAAGGACTGGGTTGAGAGGCCTTAGAGTGCCATTGACTCAGTCACACTGGCCCTCAGTGAAGGTCAAGTTCTCCCGTGGCTGTCTAGGGGAAGCAAGGACAGATGAGTAGTGAATAGATGCTGTGGTGATGATGGCCTAACTCCCTGTCTTCCCAGTCTTAGAGCTTGATTGGGGTGAGGTGTGTGGCCCCTGTGGACCCTTCCCTTCCAGGATCTGTGGGACACAGGGTAGACCAAGAAATGTTTATCTATGCTGTCCCCTTCTGTCAACCATGTTTATTCTCTGCCAAGACCACACCTGCTGGAAAGCAGCTTCCTTATAAACTTGAGTGGCATTGGTGGAGTGTGGGGCTCCTGAGGATTGTCCCAGTGGGTCAGGACTCTGGGCAGGTGGCTGGGTTTGACTGCTATGGGGAGCTATGGGGGAGGAGCCAGAGGGGATTGTAGGTTAATGTGGGCACACAGGCAAGCCTGGTGGGCAAAGACCCCAGGGGAATCAGATGGGTCCATGTGAGTCCTGGAACTGAGGCCATCATCTCTCCAGCCCTGCACTCAGTCACTCTCCTGCCCTGAAGTAATGGCCTGCCCTGGGCTGGGACTTGCACTAGGAAATACGGCCTCCTCAGGAGCACTGGGAAGAGACAGACATTAGGACAGAAGCTGAGAACTGAGCACTGTAATGACAAATGGCCCCTTGGCAGCTCATGGGGAGGGGGAGGTATCCGTGAATGAGTGGGCAGGGCTGCCCTGGGTATGCTTGCACTAGAAGAGCCAGTCCAGTGTCCCCATTCTGGACTCTCTCTACCATGGACAGGTGACTGCAGTCTCAGCAGGTGTCTCCATCCTGGCTGTAGTGGGGCAGGGCAGGGCAGAGATGGCCCCTGCACCTTTCTGGCTATAGGTGCTTTACTGCATGGCTGCAGACACCCATGTAGGCTGATGGATGTCTGTGCTGTCCAGGAACAGACCAGACCTGTGCAGATGTGACTCATGTTCCCTATACCTCCTAGACCCATCCAGGTCCCTGTGTCTCCTGCTCCATTCATGGCTAACTTCTGCCAGCACTTTGACCTTCCTAATGGCTGAGCCACACTCCTGACTCAGGCTGCCTGCACTGCCCAAACCCCCCTCCAACTCTACAGTGGCACCTACACTTCTCCACACTGCCACCTTGACTCTGGTGATCAGAGTACAGTGCCCCATGTGGTGGATGCTCCCTGAGCACATGCTCACCATAGAGTATGTGTCCTTGTGTATGAGTGGAAGTCTCAGCACTTCTCCCCATCACTTCCTACCTCCAGGGCTAGTTCTGGCTAGGGTGGAATGCCCAGCATTCTCTGGGTTCACCTTCGGTCTCCTGCCAGTAAGCACATCCTCTGCATGCTGCCCAGATCACTTTTTCACCCTGTTCCTGCCCCAGGGCTCATGGGCACCTACTCTTCCAGCAACCTCCACTGACCCGTCTGGTCTGGGTCTAGGGCTGGTTTCTGGATCCCCAGATCCCAACAGGGTCTGGCCTGGAAGACTGGAAAAGCTGCCATGGGAACCCCTCACACAACCAGAGTCTGTGGGCAGGCACCCTGTCTTAGCTCCTGTTGCCCTACACGGGCCCTGGCACCACTCTCATAACACTGGATGTACCTTAGAGACCCACATGTGCCTGCTGACAGCACCTCTTGCTGCCTTCTGGCCAGGATCCCACATAGACAGCCAGGTTCAGCCTCAGCAGGGCTGTGGGCAAGCAACTAGGAGAAGAGCTCATGGCGACTGCCTCCTCCAAGAACGGAGCAAAGGCCGAACCTCCATCTCCACTGCCCTTTGGGATCTCACTGAGGGGCGGAAGGTGGCCTGCAACACAGCGGGCAGCGGAGTGGTATCTGCCGACTCTGTTTTTTCTCAGGGTTTGTGTTTTTGTTTTGTTTATGTATATTAGTGTGTTGCCTGCATGTATGTAAGCTCACCACATGCATCCACTGCCACAGAGGCCAAAAGAGTGTGTCGATCACATGGAACTGGAGTTACAGACGGTTGTTAGCTGCCATGTAGGTTCTGGGAATCGAACCCAGGTCCTCTGCAAGAGCAGCCAGTGCTCTTAACTGCCCTAGTGCTAATGCACCAAAGCTGTGTTTTGCCTTCCTCTCAGATCTTAATGTTCCTGAAAAGGCTACCACTGGCACGTGGCCCAAGGTGTGCTCCCTGGGACACCAGTTTCTAGCTACATTGGCCCTAAAAAGTTCCAGGAAGCGGATTTTTGTAGTTTTGTTGTTTTTCTGTGTTTTTTTTCTCTCCCTCGTGAGGCAGGGCCTCAGGCTGGCCCGATCTCTGTGCTCCTGCCTCAGGATTCTAAATGCTGGGATTATGGGCATGTGCCACCACACTGATGGGCAGTGTCTTCTTCTTGTGCTAGCTGTGGGACTTCTTGGAGCTTTGGCTGCACTGACCTGCATGTGATCTATGTGAGAGGGAGCTAGCAAGGCAGGTCTCACAATTTCTTGATCCTGTACATGTCTGTGGCCTGCACTTTGGAAAAGGAGTCTCACGCCAGAAGGAGCCCTAGTTAAGACCTGACTGTTCAGAACTAAGTTGGAGTCACAGCTGCCACAGGCTTGCTGACTGACTCTGAGCCAGTCACTGGACCTCTCTGAGCGTCAGATTCCTCATCTTTATTGAGAGGTCAAGTTTAGTGCCTAGCTCCCTTTAGAATGTTTGGAGAGTTAAATAGATTGGTGTAGGTAAGGAACATTTAGAGTGCTGGGCTAAGGGCTGCATGGCCAGAGCTGGCCTGTGCAGAACCTGGCATGCAATCCATAAAACATATCCATGACACTGATATGACCTAAAGCTTGGGCAGTGATCTTTGTCCTTTGTTAACAGATGTGCAGGCAGGCTCCGTGAAGGAGTAAGTGCTGCATCCCCTCAGGAGGGAAGGTGGACTTGAACCTGCATCCCGTGGGCCTGGGCCAGGTCCTTTGTTCTTGCCTGAGCCTCCCCTGCCCCTGCCCCTGCCTCCCTCTTCAGCTCTCCCTCGTAGCAGGCAGGAGACACCCCAGCCTGCACTTTAGGAAGAAATCATTATCTTGGGACTTTTCCTTTAATTTTCAAGGAAGATAGTAGATTCACTACTGGATTCACACCGCTTGAATTCCTGAGCTCTAAGGTAGACAGGTGGGACTGGGTGAGCATCCGCTATTGTGGAATGCTGTTCTCCAGGCACGACATGGCAGTCATCATTTTGAAATCAGTGCAGCCAGATTACTCATAGGAGAAGTTTCACAAGATTGGGTCTATTAACATTGCCTGGTAGGGGCTGGCATGGTGGCCCACACCTCTAATCCCAGTAGAGGCAGACAGGTTTCCGAGTTGGAAGCCAGCCTCGTCTACGTATCAAGTTCCAGGCCAGCCAGAACAAATAGCGAGACCCTGTCTCAAAACAAAGACAAAAACTTTCCCTGAAAGAAGTTGGAGGAGGGTGATGAGATCATCACCTGAGATTGTAGCCCTCCACCCCACCCCATGCAATCCTGCTTCAGCTGTACCGGAGCTCTCAGGACGTGTAACAGGGTGGAAGGTTAACTGAAGGGAGTACAGCTTTCTGTCTGCACAGCTTTTGGAGTCAGCAGCCACCCTGGGGTGGACTTTTCAGTGGTGCAACAGCAAGTCACCCATGCTCCTGTAAGTAGCCTCAGTAAACTCGCTGGTTCATCATGCTGGACTTGGGGAGAACTGTTTCTTTGGTCTGCTGTTGCCCAATCAGGAGTGAGCTATGTGCCTCCCCAGGAGGGGCTGGAGAGATGGCTCAGGTTAGGATGCTTGCTGCACTTGCAGAGGACCCAGGTTTGATTCTCAGCACTCACATCGGGCAGCTCACAACTCCAGCTCCAAGGAATCCAATGCCCTCTTCTGGCCTCTGTGGATACTTAACACACACGTGGTAGACACATATAAATGAAAATAAGTCTTTAAAATAAAAAAAAAACACAGGGCTGGAGAGATGGCTCAGCCATTAAGAACACTGGTTGTCGTCGGGTGTGGTGGCGCACGCTTTTAATCCCAGCACTTGAGAGGCAGAGGCAGGCGGATCTCTGTGAGTTCAAGGCCAGCCTGGTCCACATAGCAAGTTCCAGGACAGCTGGGGCTACAGGGAGACCCTGTCTCAAAAAAAAAAAAAAAAAAAGACCAAAAAAACCCCAAGAAAGGACACTGGCTGTTCTTGCAGAAGACCCGGGTTTGAATCCCAGCACCCACATGGCAGCTAACAACTGTCCGTAACTCCAGTTCCAGGGGATCCAACAACCTCTTCTGTCCACTGTGGGCATTGCACTTACCTACATGCAGGCAATACACACACAGAAAATAATAAAATTAATTAATTAATTAAAAACCCAACTCCCCAGGAAAAGTCACACACCACTCCCTGACATCTACTCCCTCTGCAGGCTGCTTCACCAAGTCAGGGCTCATTGGAGCTCCCAAGCCCAGCTCACTTTTGTTTCTTGGAACGCTGTGGCTGTTCGTGGAGCCCTTTCCCAGTCCAGAGTCAACCTGACTGTTGAGCCTGGCAGGCAGAAGGCATGTTCTGCTGCAGCCCCCCTGGGGCCCCGCCCTGGCCCTGCTGGGCTTTGCTGGCTGTGCATTGGCAGCACAGAGGGAGGTGGGAAATGCCTGGTGTGAGGCTATCCACACTCTTGTTTGTTGGACAAGGTCAGCAGTGGAGGGCCCTGCCCTGCGGGAGCTTCCTGTCAGTCTTGAGGACTCCTTCCTTGGGCAGGGGAGGACTGATCTGGTCTGCCCTTCTGGGCAAGATGAGCAGGAAGCAGCCAGAGCTGCCTGTGTGAGATGGGACTCCTCCTCTGTTGGGGAGGAGGGATGTGCCAGCCTGAGGCTTAACCTGCAGACTTTGGCTCTGCTGTCTGTCTGAGCTGAGGCTCAGGTGGTTGCTGCAGGGATATAAACCAGTGGGTAGCAAGTGGGTCACTGCGTGTGCCTGAGGGTGAGCCTTCCCAGACTTCACTGAGATTGCCCAACTCAGTTTACCTGTGACAGTGCCTGGAGGAAGGTTTGATCTTGGACTCTTGGACTGTTTCTTTCAGTTAAGCTGCACAAGTGAAAAGGGGGAGCACTCCTTGTCTCCCAGGACCTGGATGCACAGCTGCTCAGCCCAGGGCTTCCAGACCCATGGCTGACAACACTGTGGAGTCCAGGAGTGTCTGAGGGGCCTGGCTGGGAAGGAAGTTTCTGCCTATTGCATTCTCTCAGTCCTAGAAGGGGAGAGGGTCTGGGCAGAGAGGTACAGTCACCTGCCCCGGGATGCCGCCAGTGGGAGGCAGAGCCCAGCCTGGCACTCCTTCCGAGTTCTGTCCTCACTGCTCTGTAGGGTTCAGCTCCACCTGCCCAAGTCTCACACAGGGTTTTGGGTATGGGCGTGCGGGGATCTCGGGGCGCCAGCTGTTGGGCCTGGCGCCGGTCTCCCACACATCGCTGGAGTGCAGCGGGTCCCGCGGGTTCAGGCCCCTGGCTCTCCGCCGCGTTGCCGTGGGTCTCTGCTACCGGAGCTGGCGGCTCTAGGACTACTGTCAGCTGCCCGGTCGGTTCCGTTTCAGTTTCCACCATGCACTCTCTCTCTCTCTAAGTTTGAGACCTGTTGGCCACCAGGTCACGAGGGGAGGTGCGAGAAACTGCGAAAGGAGGGTGTTCGTGAGTCGATGACAGAAGGATAGGCACCTTTCCCCAGAGGTGGCATCAGGACTCAGGACAGGGGTGTGTGGTGGTTGCAGCGTCCTTGGGGTCTGAGTCCTGCTCAATGACCTGGAGTGGACTGCAGACAACAGGGCAGAAGGCCAGGCTGGACCCAGGGCTGCTTGGTCTATGGGTTCCAGGGATGTCTCTGAAAGATGGAAACAGGCCCTGGGAGAGAAGCTGCTCGGTGAAATTCATGAAGACAGAGGGGAAATGGCGGCTGCCCAGGGCTAGGGGTGAAAAGGGAGAGGCAGCACCCGAGGAGGGCTGAGAGCTTTTGACTGAGGAGCTAATGAGGTTTTGCAGGAGCCAGGTGTGGTGAGACAGGTGTGGTGACTGCAGACCTGTGATCCCAGCTCAAGAGGATCCCAAGTTCAGGCCCAGGCTGGGTGACCTAGTGGAGACTGTGTCTCAGAACGTAAAAAGGGGACAGTTTAGTAGCAACACACTCACTTAGCAAGCCCAAGCCCCAGGCTTAGGCCTCTGCACTTGGAAAAACAGAAAAGAAAGGCTCTGCAGGTGCACGTGGAGGTTGGTCCACACACTGTCCTGCGAAGTCTTTCATCATAGCTGACCAGGATGCTGAAATATGGGGAAATTGGTGGTCTGCAACAACTCCACACCAGTGCAAACCCAGCTGAGAAAGGGGGCCCAGGCCTGGGTGTGGGAGGGGCAGGGGCAAAGTCAGCTCAGGACTTGAGCTCTGAATTGTCTTCTGTAGTTTGTCATCTCTAGCCTGGAACGTGGCTTTGTCCTGCACCATCCATGTGACTTCTTTCCCTTTTGGAGGTTCAGGGAGCCCCGCCAGTCCAGAGAACAGAAGCAGAGGTAGTGGGGCTGAAGTCCTGACAGGGCTGGCTGAAGAAGATAAAGCCTGGGATAGCCATGAGGCCCCAGAGAGGCCCAAGTCCCTATCTGCACATGGCCCCTGGTGCAAAGCCTCAGCTTGGGGACAGAACTTCCCACAAGGGGCAATGGATTAGTTACTTTGGTATCACTGTGACCAAAGTGCATGAGAGAAACAAGGGAGAAAAAGGTTTATATTGGCTCATGATTTCAGAGAGTTTCTATCCATCATGGTGGGGAAGGCACTGCTTTGTCTATGAGCTGCTCTGGCTTGGTGGTGGGAGCAGAAGGCTGTGCACACCATGGCAGAAGAGGAATCAGGACCAGGGGCCTTGCTACAACCTTCAAAGACCTGCCCCCCCCATGACCAGCTTCTGTCAGCTAAGCCCCACCTCCTCCAGGTTCCACAGCTTCCTAAGATAGCACTACCCACTGGAGAACAGGTGGTTAAAACAATTCAGATTTGTGGGGGGAGGTGCTGGAAAGAGGGCTCAGTGGTTAAGAGCAGAAGTTGCTCTTGCAGAGGACCTGGGTTCAATTCCCACCACCCACATGGCAGGTAACAACTGTCCAGTTCCAGGGGATCTGATGCCCTCTCCTGACCTCTGTAGGCATTGCATACATGTGGTCCATTTACATAAAATAAATCTCAGTGTAAGCTTTCATGACCCTGAAAGTCTTGCATTCTGAATGCCTGTAAACCCAGCACCTCGTGGACAGCAGTAAGTTGTGCTGCCAGTCTGAGAAGCAGCTGACCAGTGGCCTGACTGTCTCCATGGCAGAATGTGGAAACATTTCTGGAGACAGCCCTACTCAAGCACTTATGGAGTGCTCTTTTTAAAAGTACTGCACTCTCTTTTCTTTCTTTTTAAAATAAGATTTTTGAAGATTTTGAAGATTTTTATTTCGTATGAATTTATTATGATTTGAGTATTTTGCCTACAGGCATGAAGTGCCCTCAGAGGCCAGAAGAGGGTGTCAGATCCCCTGGAACTGGACTTACACAGATGGTTGTTAGCCACCATACGGGGGCTGGGAATTGAACCCTGGTTCTCTGCAACAGCAGCCTGTGCTCTTAACCACTGAGCCGTCTCTCAGCTACAGCTCTTTTCTTCTTTTCCTGTCTTTTTAAAAAATATTTTATTTTTATTTTATGTGTATGAGTGTATTGCCTGCATGTATGTGAGTACACCTGTGTTGTGCAATGCTGCGGACATCAGAAGAGGGATTTGGATTCCCCTGGAACTGGAGTTAAGGACGGTTCATAGCCACCATGTGGGTGCTAGAAATCAAACTTGGGTCGTCTGCAAGAGCAGTCAGTGCTCTTAACTGCTGAGCCAACTCTCCAGCCCCAAACACATTAAAATTTTTATACCTTGGAGTCTTCAGTTGGTCTCACTCTTGAGGGACCTTCCTTGTCCTAGTGCAAAGTACATAGCTTTTTAAAAAGATTTATATTAGCCGGGCATGGTGGCGCACGCCTGTAGTCCCAGCACTTGGGAGGCAGAGGCAGGTGGATCTCTATGAGTTCAAGGCCAGCCTGGTCTACATAGTGAGTTCCAGGACAGCTGGGGCTACAGGGAGACCCTGTCTCAAAAAGACAAGAAAAAAAAATTATATTTTTCAGGGGCTGGATTTATATCTTTCATTATGTATCTGTGGTTGTCTGTGCATATGTACATGTGCATGCAAGTGCCTGCAGAAGCCAGGAGAGGGTGTTGAATTCCCTGGAGCTAGAGTTACAAGTGGTTGTGAGCTTCCAGATATGGGTGCTGGGAACTGAACTTAGGTCCATACAAGAGCAAGCTTTCTTAACCACTGAGCCATCTCTCCAGCCCCACTTGGCTGTTTTTCTATTTTTAAAAATTTTTTAATTTAAATTTAATTTTTTTTTCTTTTTGAGACAGGGTCTCCCTGTAGCCCCAGCTATCCTGGAACTCACTATGTAGACCAGGCTGGTCTTAAACTCACAGAGATCCGCCTGCCTCTGCCTCCCCAGTGCTGGGATTAAAGGTGTGCGCCACCATGCCCGGCAGGCTGGTTTTTTTAAAGACAGGGTCTCACTATCGTAGCCCTAACTGACCTGGAACTCCTTACTTAGACCAGACCAGACTCCAACTTGCAGACCTGCCTGTTTCTGCCTCCTAAGCGAGTGCTGGGTTTAAAGGCCTGTGCCCCCACACCTGGCTGCTTGGCTTCTAGTTAATGGCTCAACACTATAGCCACTTTATCTGCACCATCTGTGTCCAGAACTTTAAGTGTACTCCTTTTCTGGCTAAACTGTACATTTTTGAAATCCTGCTCTGAATGGTGCTCCCCTTCCTCACTGTGGAGCTAGCTCAAAGCAATAACCGTACCACAGTGTGACACTCTGCCATCTTGAAACTCCTTCTGACAAATAAATTAGTCTATTCCTGTCAATGTAGCCTCATCCCAATTTTCAGGATATGGGCAGAATATAGGCAAATTATTCACCAGAACATAACCCAGGTGGCCTCTAGTGCAATCAATTCCCAATAAAGTCCTTGCCTCGCCCCTACCCCCCAAAACTCTCATGGGCACAGCCTTTACTGTCTGCATGTCTGTCTACAAACATTCTGGTGTTTGAATTCCTGTCAGATCTGTACACTAGGTAGCACTCAGACATCATTCTAAGGCTTCTCTGGCCCACATCTCCGAGCCATTCCACATTCCTCCTCAGACCACTTCCAAAGGCCTAAGGACCACCGGGTCAGTTTACCAGGGCAGCAACAATTTTCGGTATTTTTTGCTTTTGTGTTGTCGCTGTGACAAAATACCTGACAAGAACAACGTAAGGGAGGAAATGTTTATTTCGGCTCATGATGCAGAGACTTTCAGTCCTTCATACCAGGAAAGGTATGATGGAGTGGTAAGAGCCCTGAGTCAAAGAAGGTTCACACTATGGCAGAGGGGGAAGAAAGAGGATACCAGGACCAGGGGCTGGGAAATCATCTCCAAAAGCCTGCCCTGAGGGACCTACTTCTACCTGCTGGGATCCACCTCTTCAAAGTGTCACAGTCTCCCAAAGGGCTGCCAGCTGGGAAACAAAGCTTAGCAATAGGAGGCTGTGGGGAGATTTCAGATCCAAACCTTGACAGGCAGCGAGAAAGGCTGTCTTCTGTGCATCAGCTCTAGCTGGTATCAGAGGAATGGAATGCCAGGGCATGGTATCCTGCCAGTATGCACAGAGACAAACTGGAGGAGAGGAGAGGGCAGACCATGCAGCAGGCCAGGGCAAAGCCAGAGAGAAATAAGCCACAGAGTCACTTAGGTGGGGTGACCTCAGAGGCAATGGGCCAGCTCTTCACTGTACGGATAGAAAGGCCAGAGAGGGGCAGGAGCTTCTGTCAGCTAGCACGGCATCTGTCAGCAGAGTAGAAACGGGCTCCTCACACCCCTAACTTGGCTGTGTCAAAAAGAAACAAAACAGTAACCCCAAATGCAAGATAAGTTACCAACATCCACCTACTTAAATGTGTACAAAGATTCACTAGTTTCACTTAGTGAAGTGCACAGGCACACAAGGAAGGTATTTAACGTGGCACTGCGTGTGACTGGAGATGGGGAGAGCAGCCAAGTCATGTAGGACTGGGTCAGTAACAATGGCAGGAGAACAGTGAGAGGCTGTAGGGTAGCTCAGTAGCAGAGCAAGTGCTTGGCATGTCTGATGTCTTGAATCCTCAGCACTTAAAATACAGTGACAAGGGTATACTGTTTAGTGAGATAATCAAGTTACACATTCTGAACAGCAGGAGACAATTCGGCATGAATAATGGTAGAGGTGAAAGGAATGTTGGGAAATTCCCTCCAGGAAATGCTGAGACTTAAAGTTAAGAACCACTGTTCAAGTCCAAATATTTACAGGGTGGTCCTTAAGGAACAGCTGAGGTTTAGAGTCGGCTTTAGTCTAAAGCTGTCTGCAGCCCTGTTTCAGGCAGCTTCCCCGCCCTCCCCCCAGAGCCAGCCCTGGGTTGCATTTGGTCTTTTTTGTTCCCACGTCCTGCCACCCTCTCCTTCACAGCAAAAGAAAAAGTCAGTGCCTGGGGGGTGGGGGCAGGAGGCTGCAGAGATGGCTCAGTGGTTAAGAGCACTGGGTGTTCTTTCAGAGGACCCGGGTTCAATTCCCAGCACCCACATGGTGGAAAGGAAGAAGAAGGAAGAAGAAGGAAGAAGAAGAGAAGAAGAGGAGGAGGAGGAGGAGGAGGAGGAGGAGGAGGAAGCGTCACACTGAACAGTTTCAAAGCTTGACTCGGAAGCTGCAGGATAAATGTCTAGGTCAATGAACAGAATAGACCGCCGAGTTCAACTCGCATTTGCGGTCAACTGTCACCAAAGAAGGGAGCAGAGACTATTCAATAGAAGAATCTGTTCGGCTGGCAAGCACCCCACAGACACACACCCACATCCACCAAGTGCAGCACCGCTCACCGCGCTCTCTCTATTCAGTTTTAAGGCACTGGAAGCCGTCCCCTACGCGTGTGTATGGAGCATTGCGTTTTGGTGGCTCCGTAGTTTTCCAGCGCACGGATTTGGTTCTGACTCGACTGCTATAACTACTGTCATCAGGCAGGAGGAACCCAGCGATGGACATGAGGAGACGTAGAGCCCCAGCTAGGCCCAGAGTTCACTGGCCTCGTGCTTCATCTTCTCTACCTGGACCATCCTGGGAGGCGGGACGTGTGCAAAAAGGAGCGCGATTCTGCTGCAGTGCGCCCAAGGTATACACACCTGCCGGTACCTGTTACGTATGGGGTCAGCTACTCAGCTTAGGAGCAGCACCAAAGGCATGAAGACTAGGACTCTATGACGATCGTAACCCCTAACGGGCTTCCGCACCCACCGCGGAACCACGGTGGGGACAGCCACTCACCTTGGTTAGGGTCTCCTCACCGCTTGCTTGCCTAGCGCATCATCCCTGAGGTTGCAGCCACACCTGTCTCTTTAAGGCGGCTGAGCCCAGTTGCGTTTCTTAAACCCCCAGAAGTCACTGGACGCATGCGCGCGAGGGAAAGACTGGCGTGAAGCCGTCCACCGACATTTCCTTTCAGATATGGCGACGCCCTGGCTGCCGCGGTCTTGCCCGTCGGTGACGTCACTTCCGGGGCGGAGAAGGGTGAGTGGTGCAGTGAGGGACAAACAAAAGGAGGCGCCGGAGGAGCGCGGCGTCCGGAGGCGCGACCGGGTGGCGGAGGGCTGGGGCTGCCTGCCGGGCGGCCGGGAGCGGCGAGCCCAGGTGAGTGCGGCGGGTGGAGAAGGGGACGAGAGCTGTCACCGCGCGAAACCCACGAGGACGCGCGTCCGCACCCCGGCGGGACCCGCACGTCTAGGGCGCAGTCCACTCCGGCCCTGCGCCTCGGCTCGGCTCGGCTCCGTTCGGGTCCCGCCGCCGCCGGGCTCCGCCCCACCCTCCGGCCGGTGCCGCGGCGCGCGAGCCCCCTCCCGGGCACCCCGAGTCTCGCGCCGCTCTCGGCAGAGCTTCCGTCGCTCTCCCGGCCCCTGGTCCTCGCTGGTCCCCGCACATCCGCGCCCCTCCGTACACACTGTCCGGTTCCAGAGGTTCCACCTTGGCGCGCTCGGCTCCTCGGGTCCCGCCGCCGCCGGGCTCCGCCCCACCCTCCGGCCGGTGCCGCGGCGCGCGAGCCCCCTCCCGGGCACCCCGAGTCTCGCGCCGCTCTCGGCAGAGCTTCCGTCGCTCTCCCGGCCCCTGGTCCTCGCTGGTCCCCGCACATCCGCGCCCCTCCGTACACACTGTCCGGTTCCAGAGGTTCCACCTTGGCGCGCTCTGGACAGCTTCCCGCCCGCTGGCTGCCCGGCGCCGGCCCCATCCGGTGGATCCCTCTCTCTTCCTTACCGTGGGGACAGGATCTCGGGCTGGGCCCCTGGAAGCTCCCTGGGCTGGGGGTTCCCTGATGACCGGTTCTGGATGGGAAAGTTTCTACTGCCCCTGCGGCAGGAGAGCCAGATCTAGTGATGGGAGGGCCTGACCCAGGTGTAGGTGAGCTGGAGGTCAGCAAGGATGCTCCCAGGATGAAAAAACACAGTTGGGGCTGGGGGCTGGGGTTCTTGGTTCAACTTCGTTAAGGACTCCTCCCTTATCCTCTGGACCAGTGTGAACTGAGATTGGGCTGGTTCTCTGCTGATGAAACTGTTACCTTTTTTGGGAAGGATACATGGGTGTGGGTGATGGGGGGGCGGTGTTAGCCTCTTCCTGATGGGGCTGACTGGGCTGACTGCATGGGGTGGTTCAGCCACAACCACACTTACATTGCCTCCTCTTCCTCTGCCCTAGGATACCATTGAGGATGAGGTGTGGAGGGAGAGGGTTTGTGAGGACCAAGGAATTTGGAGAAGATGAGGCAGTTGCAAGGACTTTTTCTACCTTGGACGACATTAGTAATACCTTTAACCTCAGCTGACTGTTGTTCTGCCCTCTGGAGTAGACAGACTGGCACACAGACACTGCAAGAAAGGAGATCAGCTGTTGGGGAGCCTTCCTATATTGGGGAAAGAGACTGGGAGTGTATTCAGAGGCCCCAGGGCTCTGCCAGTGGGCCATGGTGTTCCCTCCATGAAGGTCATGTTCTTCTGTGGCTGTCCAGGGAAGGCAAAGACAGTGAGTGGTGCTGGGGACACTTTCTAGAGCTTCTGTGGTGGGATCTGATGCTCCTCAGCCTTCTTGGAGTCATTGCACAAGAGTGCAGACCCAAGAAGCATTTGTGACTTCTCCCCAGAAGTCAGCCTGATGCATTTGTTCTCTGTGCCTCAGGCACATCCACTAGGAAGTAGTTTCCTTCTAGATTTGAGTAACCTTTGTGGAAAGTGGGTGCTCCTGAGGATTGTTCCCCTGGTTCAGGACCCCCAACCTGCTGCCTGGAAGAGATGGAGGGAAGGAACCAGCCTGTTCCTGACTCCCTCTCCTGAGACTGGAGATGAATCCAGATTTTTACTGAGAGACACTGAGGCACTGGCTGACCAGTACAAACATCCTGTGAACTCAACTAGAATGGATGTAGCATTATAGATAGACAGCAGTGGTCCTGATGCTGGAAGTCCAGAGGAAGGAGGAGGTAGCCCAGGGTGAGAGAGCAGGGCATACACTTTCTAGAGGAGTCCCGTTCAGTCATGGCTCTGCAGTGGGCCAGTGTCTGTCCAGCCTTAGCAGGTGTCTCTATCCTGGCTGAGGGTGTGGGGCAGAGGTAACTTGGATGACCTCTGTACCTTCCTGGCTGTAGGTACTTTACTGCCTGGTCACATATAGGCTGCCGTCTTTCCCTGTGACTGGGCAGCCTGGCTTTGGCCTCCATCTTCTAACACACCTTGGGCCACACTCAGCTTGGGCTGCTTTGCTGCCCTCTCCCCCAAGTCTCCAGCAGCACCCACGCTTCCCCATGCTGCCACCTGGTCTCTGGTGAGCAGTGCAGAATACAGTGCCCACTGTGGAAGGCATGTCCTTGTATTTTCATGGAAGTCCTTGTCTGACCCAGCTCACCCCATTGCTCCTCGCTCCATGTCCACCTCCAGGGCTAATTCTAGCCAAAGAGCAGCTTGCAGCATTCTCTGGACAGCACCTTTTCTTCCACCTGTCAGTACACACTCTGCTTCCTGCCTGAATCATTGTCCCACTCAGGCCCGGGTCCATCAGGCACCTGCTCCTGTAGGAACATCTTCTAAGCACTCCAATCTGTGTCTAGGGCTGGACCTGGGGCCCCAGCAACACCTGGCCTCCAGATGGGAAGAGCTACTTGCGGGGCAGGCACATTGTCCTGGTAGCTCCTTTTGCCCTGGAGCCCCACACAGGCTCTATCACTACTGCCAGGCTCCCCAGAACGGTGACCTTAGGGCAGGCGTCTCTGAGAGCTGCGTGTGTGCCATTGACTGCAGCTCTCACTTCTTTATAGGGCAGCAACAGCGTCCATGGAGCAGAAGGAGTGCCAGGACCCTGTGCAGACGGACAGGGGCCAGCCTCAGCACCAACAGCCAACACGAAGATAGCAGAGCCACCTCAGGGTAAGCCCTCACCAGCCTCACTGCACTGCCTCTCCCTGGCAGGTAGTGAAGGCCAGCCTCTCCATCTCCACAGGATGCAGGTGATCTGGGACAGAACGGGTAGAAGACAGCTTTTTCCTCTATCTTGGCCTCTGGCTGAGTGCTGAGGGCATCTGCTTGCTGTGCTTTCGCCTTTTTGTTTTGTTTTGCTTTGTTTGGGTAGTAGTCGGGGTTGGACCCAGGGCCTCACACATGGCAGGCAAGGGCTCTACTGCTGAGGCATATCCCTAAACTTAATATGTATCTGTGGCTGGACTTGAACTTCTGATTCTTCTGCCTCTACCTCACGTGTGCCGGTATTATAAACATGCACCATCATTCTGGGTTTTGCTGTGTTGAGGACTTCATGTGTGGTAAGCAAACACTTGACCCATGGAGCCACGTTCCTAGTCCTATCCCCAGACTTTTGTGTTTCATTTTAGATTTTTTTGTTTATGTGTATGAGTATATTGCCTGCACGGGTGTAAGTGCACCCATGTCATGCAATGCCCGTGGAGGTCAGAAGAGGACTGATGTAGAGAAGGCATTAGTAGAGTCCTGGTCTCAGGAAGTGCTCTCTGCCCATAGCTGGCCTGTGGGACTGCCATGTAATCTGCAAAACACAGCCATGACACTGATCTCATGACCATTTGCCAAAGTATAGGCAGTGGCCTTTGTCCCCTGTTAACTGACACAGAGACTGAGACTCGAGTGGGGAAGCAACATGCCAAAACCCATCGTGAAAGAAGGTGAGGTTGTGGACTTGAACCTGGATCCTGAAGCCCTGGCTGGGCCAGGACCTTTGTTCCTGACCTGGCTCCCCTTCACCTCCCGGCTCAGCTTTTCCTGAAGGAAGGAGCCAGCCTACCCAGCCTGGACTTAAAGAAAAATAGTCATCTTGGGGATTCTTCTTCTTGAGAAAGCATCTTACTGTGTGGCTAGGCTGACCTCAAATTCTTGGTCCTCCTGCCTCAGCTCCCTAGGGCTGGACTTACAGGTGTTGCTCTACCGAATCTGATGCTTCTTAATTCCCAGGGAAGTTCTATGCTCATTATTATTTTCATATTGTTTAGATTTTAGTGTGATAGAGGTCAAGTCCCCCTAACCCTATCTTCAGAACCTGGGGTGAAATAGGGGAGAGCTGCCTCACATCTACTCCCTCTGCAGGCTGCTTCACCAAGTCAGGGCTCATTGGAGCTCCCAAGCCCAGCTCACTTTTGTTTCTTGGAACGCTGTGGCTGTTCGTGGAGCCCTTTCCCAGTCCAGAGTCAACCTGACTGTTGAGCCTGGCAGGCAGAAGGCATGTTCTGCTGCAGCCCCCCTGGGGCCCCGCCCTGGCCCTGCTGGGCTTTGCTGGCTGTGCATTGGCAGCACAGAGGGAGGTGGGAAATGCCTGGTGTGAGGCTATCCACACTCCTGTTTGTTGGACAAGGTCAGCAGTGGAGGGCCCTGCCCTGCGGGAGCTTCCTGCCAATCTTGAGGGGAAGCCTGAGCTAAAGCCTGCCTCACTGGGCAGCGATGAGCAGATAGGAGCTACCTGTGTGAGGTGGGATTCCTCCTCAGTGTAGGGCACAGTGAGTAGACCCCCACTTGTCTGCCTCCGGTTTGGCCTGCAGGCTTTGGCTCTGTTGTCTGCCTGAGCTGCCGCCCAGCTGCAGGTTAGAGGGAAGCACAGCCTTTGGAGTGGAGTTGGGTTGTGTATGCCGGAGTTTGTCCTTTACTGGCATGTCACTAATGGATTGACCCTGGTTCTTTACCTTGCAGTTCCTTCAGGCCAGTTCTGTCCTGGTCTTTCAGAGTATTCCTTTCAGACATAAATCCTGAGAGTGGATAGGTGAGGAGGGGAAGCACCACCAGGGGCTTGGGTCTTGGGATGCTCTGTCGGGACTTAACTGAAGTGTAGGTCTGGATGCTCTTTCGGGGCTCAGCTGACGCCTAGGTCTGGATGCTCTGTCGGGGCTCAGCTGACGCCTAGGTCTGGATACTC